TAATCTCGAATAAAACATTTGTTAGACTTTAACCTCTGTTATAACTTAGCACGAAACCTATTCGACTTATCAGCTCGATCGATCGTCAAAGTCTTTATTCAAATGAAAGATAATCAAATGATTAAGAATGCTTTATTATATATATATATATATATCTGATTTTATTTTATGATATTCAATAGTGTAATAATGAAAAATAATAATTTGGACCGGAAAAAAAAATATATATACAGTAAAAATATTACAAAGGGTATAAAAAAAAGTATTCACTCCATTCACGCAATGATTTCTATTTCCACGAAAGAACAATCGATCGATTGATCGTATCTGATCTGAGAAAAGAAGATCGAACTGATTCGGCGTATAATTAATGATCATAAAAACTATTTGATATTAAATACCTATAAGGGGGGGAAAAAAAGGAGATAAAAATAAAATAAAAAAGAAAATTTAAAGAAATAGAAAAGAAAAAAAAAAGAAAAAGAAAAAGAAAAAGAAAACATACCTATTTGATACCGCAGGTATTGGTGATAACGGTGGCATATCGTTTGAACATTCTCGGATTCTTCACAACGACGGACGGCGAGGCACCAGGCAATTACGGTATGTTCGATCAAATTGCGGCTTTGGATTGGATAAAGAAGAATATCGAACGTTTCGAAGGTTCACCAACGAACGTGATAATATACGGTCACAGTTCAGGCGCAATATGCGTTGGCTTGCACATGATGAGTCCGCTTAGCAAAGGGAAATTTTCAAAAGCCATAGCTATGAGCGGCGATGCAATTGGATCGGTAGGTTCGCCTCAAACCGAGCTACCTGTCGTAGACTTTATAGCTGAAAAATTTGGTTGTTATCGATATCCGACAACGAAATTGATGGAGTGCCTACGTCGAGTGGACGTATTGGTTTTGGTGAGCCTATCATCGGTAATAGAGACTTGGGGGCCGATCATTGATGCCGAAACAAATAACGGTACCGAACCTTTTTTACCAGAACATCCAAGGGATATACTAACTGGTGGTAACTTCAATGCGGTACCATTGATCGCTGGTTACACAAAAAACGAACAATCATTAGCTTATATAGAGTCAATGACATCCGATGATGAGTCGAGCGACGGTACTTTGTCCGAGAAAAAATTCGAAAGTATGATAATCGAAGAATCGAACGTAATCTTGAATAATATAGAAGATAACAGTACGTGTGTAATGAAACCAGAGATGTTGTCAGATGCTATTCTCTTTTATTACAAACCTTATCCACCCAATAACGATCAAGGCGTCCTTAGGGACAAATATCTTGATCTACAAACTGACAAAACTTTTGCCTCGGGTTTGACCTTACTCGCTGGCGAATTATCCAAACAGGAGACCTCTTACGTTTATAGATTCGATTATCGTCCGAAAACTGATCTTATGGTACGTGACGTACCCGAATGGGCTGGTGTTCCGCATATGTTTGACCTACCCTTCGTTTGGGGTTTACCCTTAACCACTACAGTCCAATGGAACCCGGCCGATAAAAAGATGTCCGAAGTGATGATGATGATGCTAGCTAATTTCGCTAAAACCGCTAATCCGTCCTTGAACAATGTCAAATGGAATCCGTATACCATTAATGATCCTGGGATATTAATTATCGATAGAAATGTCGACATGAACGAGCCGAACGTAATAGATTATAGAGCATTCGCATTTTGGAACGAATATTATCCAAAAGTTTTAGAAGAGGCAACTAATAATTGTTGCAACATCACGACCTCGGCTGCAAACAAATCGAAACTATCTATTGAATTTGTCTTCATCGTAATGATAATAAATATCCCTATATACGAATTGTGTTTTATTCGTTAAATAATATTTCTAAACAATCTTCACAAATTTTACGAAATAAAACGTACGGAGAGAGAGAGAGAGAGAGAAAAAAAAGAGAGAGAGAGAGAGAGAGAAAAAAGAGAGAGAGAGAGAGAGAGAGAAAGAGAGAGATAGGTTTTTAATTTTCAAAAGTGATTTTCAATTTAACCCTCGGAGACTTACCTGAAAAATAATTTAATAATAGCAACATCGTTTTTCGATACATTGTGATATTTTTGACACGCCCAATAAAGATGTTTTTTTTTTTTCTTTTTTCTTCGTCCTCTATTAAAACGGATTAACAGTTCTATGATTATCTTTTATAATTCAATGTCGATCGATAATGATTTACTAAACAATTTCTATTCCGTCCATATTGCGTATTAACAATTAATGTACTTATCTTAACATCGATCTTTGTAACGCGTTTATGTACATACATGATGTATGTTATACGTAGAACGTCCATTTTTAATGCTTACCTAACAACAGAAGTGCCTTCTGAATTAGCGAAAATTGTACCAAACGATGTAAAGCGGTTTTACCGATTAGTATTTAAGGGATGTTAATATTAAGAACACGTTGATTGACATAATAGATATAAGAAAAAGAATAAAGATATGATAAGAAAGTTGATAGGTAAC